CAGGCGGCGGCACCTCTGAGCTAAATTTCTGGCCCTTACCTGTCTTCTTGACCTCACCCTTCTTCTCTTTGCTTTATCAAAAATCTTCCTTTTTCTTGTGTAGAATATTGAAATTCTTAAGACTTGAAGGGGCATGGCTCAGTCAGTGGTACAATGCTTGCCTAGTAGGCTCAGGGCCCGGGGTTCAATCCTAGTACCTTAAAAATCACCTTTACCCCCAAATTCTCCACATTCATTGATTTCTTTCTGGTTGGCCTACAAATAGAATTAGTTGTTGCTTAATAATATCTTCCCTTGGACCCAGATATAGTGGTGCACATATATAATCCCCAGCACTCTGGGAGGCTGAGGCAGGAGGATTGTAAGTTTGAGCCTAGACTTGGAAACTTAGCAATTTAGTGAGACTCTGTCTCAAAATAAAAAATAAAATGGGGATGGAGATGTAGCTCAGTATGGAGGCCCTGGGTTCAATTCCTAGTATCATAAAAGGGGAAAAAGAATTCTGTTGGCTTTGTTTTCCCTTAGAGTGGCTATCCCTCTCTTTTCCTTAATTGTTTAAATTAAAAAATAATTTATTATTACAAAATAAAGTACAGCCAAAAAACACAAAAGCACAGTGTGAGATTCTATCTAAGTAAATACCAGAATGTTTACAATTTAAGTTCAGTTTGCTAATAAGACCAGGGACATATTAAAATATAGTTAATAGTAAGAGTTAAGGAAAAAAATGACTTTGACACAGTTATACCTTTCTTAAGTGATACATCTTTTCAAAGAGTCTAAAATCAGATTGAGAATGAGACTGAAAAAACTTTTACATTGTAAAGAGGTGTGATTTAGACTAGCATGTGAACTTTTATAATTATATTCTATAATATGGAAGCATATGTTTATTTTGTTTAAACCAAGTAAAAGATATTTATGCTTCTTCAAAAGAGGGAAAATAAAATACGTATGATTCTTATGCCAATTATTCCTGTATCAAATAGTATTTAATAGAATGTTTCTTTCCTTATTGATGGTAAGAAAATATTTCTGTATATAATATTAATTTGATAAAAATGCAGCCAGTCGGTAATGTCTCTGAAAATAATATAGAGAGTTCTGTCTTTGCCGATGAACCCATAATGAGATATCAAACTATCACACTTTTTTTTTTTTTTTTTTTTTTTTTTTTTTTTTTTTTTGCAGGCAGCAGGATCGAACTCGGGTCCTTGCGCTTGTGTGGCAAGCAGCTAAATTCCTGGAGCTCGCACATGTATTTTGTTAGGCAGTTTCTTCCCTGACCCTCTTCCCCCAACCAGAACACTTAATAACTGCTACACAAAACCATATGTGCAGACAGAATTGAGTATTTTTTGGTGTTGGTGGTTTGTTTGAAGAAAGAAAAAAGTCGTTTTTTAAAGTCTAAATGGTCTATAGAGAGGGCCAGGATTTAGCTCAGTGATATCACCGCCTGCCTCAGAAGCAGAAGGTCCCAAGTTTGATCCCCAGTACTAAATAAATAAATAAATACATGGTGTAGAGATATCTCTGTCAGTCTCTGTCTCTGGCATGACATTCCAGTCACTGAGCATGTGCATATCTAGGGGACAAACAGGCTGGATATCTAGAGGGAGGGAGTGGCGGCTTTGCTCTAAACATGCAGCATTACATCCCTTAGACTGAAGAGAGCAGGGGCAGGAGGGGAGGTGTCTGATAAAGCTGCTCTGTGGCCCACAAAAACATTCTAGTTATCACAGCCTCCTTTACCTACTCACAGCTTTTATTTGTTTTAAAAAAATTTTTTTTGGATGGGAACTCTCTCTGTAATCCAGGGTGGCTTTAAACTCCCCTTGCAGCCCTTCCTGGCCTCTGCCTTTCAAGTGCTGAGATCACAGGTGTATACCACCATACCTAGTTTACTGCCAGCTATTTTGCTTAGTTTTGTCCTCTTTTCTCTACTTGGTTCCTTTAGCAGTGATCTAAGAATCCAGTAAAGTATTAGAATGGCTGCAAAAATGGAAAAAAAGGTAATGTCTGGTGACAAGGAAATGCAGTATATAGATAACCTTGATGCTTAAGGAAATGTACATCCTGAATCATCTCTCAGGTTAGGAACATGGAGCTGTCTCTTTCAGTTTTATATTGTCCTGGGACATGCCAGAACTTTAATTTTCTCACATGGGAATAAAAGAGAGGGATGGAAACATCTGATTTTTGGTGTGTTAGGAACTATTTTCATTGGTAGGATGATCTGGCATAGCTTTTTCCCTCCCAAACTTAGCTTGTTTGACTTCATTTCATTTCTCTCTCCCAAGTTTTCTTTATGCTATAGTTTTTGTATTCCTGACACGTTTTGATTCTTCAGACATGTGTCTCAAAAATATGATTGGTTAAGCATGAATCAAATGAGATGTGTTTTTTTTCCTAGAAAAGATACTGAATCCTTAAGGGAATCAGGTCATGGATTATATTATAACAAGCAGAAAGAACATCATTTCCTAGAAAGTGCTTTGGTGTGAGAATCTACACTTAACATCCTGTTTCCATCGAAATTGATGTGTAAGCCCATGACATTGGCTAAGCTCTTTATCCTATCTGAACTGCATTTTTGCATCTCTAAAAAGATTGCGTGCAAGTTCTCTTTGAGGTTGTTAGAAAGCAGCCCTTTTCTGTTTTTAGTTTAGAGGTAGTTGGCACGATGCATGGTCCTCTCTTACCTTTGAAGAAGAGTCTTGGAATCCTGGAGCAGGAAAGAATCTCAAAAAGCCTTGCAGTTTTTCAACCTCTGGGATAAACAAAATCACTTTGTTTTTCCTTGTTATCATTACTAGCATGAGAACAGACACTGGCATTTTTGTGTAAATATGGTGTTGAGGACAATGAGGAAGTTGATTAAAAATCCCATTTCCTCTCTTCAATGTTGATAAGTGCTAGACAGGTAACCTAAATGAGGAGCAGAGCTGGCAGTGGGCTCAGAGAAGTGATGGAGGCTGTGGTATGGAGAATGTGCACCCTGTGTACATGGGTGGTCACTCCTGGGTTTTCTTGTTTTTTTAAAGAAATTTTATTGCTAATATGTTTGCAGTATATACAATACTGATTACATTCTTTTTGGGGAGTTCATGTCTTAATTCTTTTCATCCCCTTCCCCTCTCCTCCTCCTCCTGTCCCTCCATCTCTCGCTTACCTTCCCTTTTACAAAAGATCTAAGTCTGTGTCCTATCATTTGTGTTTTATTTTGTTCTGTATTTTTATTTTGACTTTCTGAGTTTTAAGCACCACATGGACCCAATAAAACATGCCTCCTAGTGGAAAGAGCCCTGACTGTGGTTAACAGTGTCTGTTGAAAACAAATATTTTTTGGTATTATTGGGTTATGTAGGATGGAGATTTCACCAGTTTCAGTAATAAAATGCAATTATAGAAGATATACATGAGCTATTTCCTCAGTTATAGGATTTTTTTTTTTTTTGGCTCTTCCAACAACCATTCTTTTCTATTTACCTTATTCTTCTTGCATTTTCCTTAAAAATATTTATCTCAGAATTAACATTTTTTGCAAGCTTCTATTATGTCTTAAAAGAATTCTAAAGTTCCTTTGAATTTGAATAGTCTTTCTCCTACAAGTACTTACCTGTTGTCCAGTGTTTAATACTACTTCCACCAAGAATTTTAACTCCTATGTCTAACCTGAATCATACCCTGAGTTTCTGTTTGCTTTTCTCCAAACTCTCTCCAGTCTATACACTAAAAGAAATAATATTCTGGATTTGATCCATTCCTCTGGTAGGCTGAACGGACTGGAGAGGTAATCCTCTGTCTTATTGCTTTGTTCAGAGGGCATCACACAGCTGGATCATGATCAGTGTGTACAGTCTATGACCTCAATATCTTTTCTTTTCCCTACTGGCTCTGTTGTACTCAGGATTTCTTTATGTTTTAGCCACACTATTGGTTTTCTATTGGTAAGTGCACTGTCTTTTTCTCCCCTCTAATAGCTACCTCTTGTCTTTGGTGGATAATTTCGGTCTCTGGTTTGTCGAGGTTACTTGGAATTATATATATTTTTTAGAAAATTAGAAATGTTCGCCTAGTTTAGAGCTGCAGAATTATTGAGTATGCTTTCAGTTTCATTATGATGGTCATTAAGTTAAAAAAAAAACCACTTTGGGCTTGGGAATCTGGATGCTGTTATAATCCCCCTAGGTTTCACTAAACCATTTATTTCTATCAATTTTAACTCCTGGTTATCCTGCTACAGGATGTTCTTAAGCTCCACAATATTGGTATCATTTATAGTTTCTTATTTGAGAAAGAAATTATTCTTGAATAATTTAGGGGTTTATGGTTAGCTGTAGTGGAGAGAAGGAACTTAGTTGTTTTGTTTATTTCATGCATCACTATTTTATATTTTAAATAGCAAGGTGTCTTTCCTTTTCTCATGGCTGAAACAAAATACCTGACACTCAAAGTTAAAGGAGGAAAGGTTTATTCAGGTAAGAGTTTGTAGAGGTTTCACTCCATAGTTGCCTGGCTCCAAGGTGGGGTGGCATGGCAGAGGGGCATCACAGAGGAGAGCAGTTCATAGCACGAATCAAGTGAGGGCAGTGGTACAAACAACAGCAGCAAGTCCTCTTTCTGTCCCTTGTATTCCATCCATGCTACTCATCCAAGGTGCAGTTAGCACTCACACCCAGGGTGGTGCACCCTTAACCTCAGCATTGATCCCTTAGTTCCTGTATCACGCACTCTTAACCCCAGCATTACACACCCTCCATCCAGTCACCCTCTAAAAGGCCCCACCTATGACTACATAGGGCTCTGAGGGGACATCTAGATAAAAGCCATAACACAAGGTGAGAGAAAATAAGAGAGCCTTTAAATTGAGTATGAATACATCTTGGGTATTTTTCAGTGTTGGACTTTGAGGATGTCTGTTCTTTGTGATAAACTTAATAATGTCTTATTTAATATTCAAACATAATCAGATGCACTTTTTGTTATTGTCATTACAGATTTTGAAAAGTGACCATGAAGAGTGAAGAAGTCACATTTGTGGTACTTGAAAGTTAGCGACTGCTTGCCACATTTTCATGAAAATTAAGTATGACTTAGAAGCATTGAAGGTTTATGATGTCATCGGTTTCAACAGAGAGCAAACTCCAGCAGGCTGTGAGCCTGCAGGGGGTTGACCCAGAGACATGTATGATTGTATTTAGAAACCACTGGGCACAGGTAAAGTATGACTCTGCTTGGGTCTGCTTGTCCCGCAACTTCCATCATGTAGAAAACTGAGTTTCCAAAAACTTTGGTGGGAAACTCTTGCCAATAGGCAGAAAAAGCATTTTTTTTTCTCTTTGCTTTCCTGGAATAGGTATCCTGGTGAGAAACCATTGTTTCACAAATGTAGTTAGGGAACATGTGTATTTCTTGGATATTTTTCTTAGAAGAGCAATAGTTCATTAAAGTGACTTTTAACGTCACTCTGCAATGTACTTGACCATAATAGCATTCTCTCCATTTCCCTTTTTCCACCCCATCTTAAACTCTAATAACATTAAAATACTACACATTTATTAAGCATTTACCAAGTATTGTGTGGAGTGCTTCATATGTCTTACATCATTTAATCTCCACAGCCTACTGGATAGTTAGTATTAATGTTCTCATCTGTAAGAGGAATGGGAAATTAAAGATGTTAAGTAGCTTGCTTGAGGTTATACAACTAGTGAATGACCAAGCCAGCACTTAGACCTCTGACTCCAGAGTCATGTGTCTGACCTCAGTGCTGTACTAATTTTGGGCTGGTGCTCCTGTGTAATTTAAGGAAAGAAGATGCCCAGCTCTACCTGAATACCTGTCTTGTTTCAAAGCTCATTATAAGGTTCTTTTGATTATTCATTTTGACTTCTCTGTAACTGTTCTCTGATCTGCTGGTGTGGATAATTAAGGGTTGAATGTTCAGAGAATTTACCAATCCGCCCCTTTTCTCAGGGAGTGTGCAGGTAGTAAAATAAACAAAATTGCCATTCTTTACTACTTGTCCCACACTACACTCCCCAGGTGAGCTGGTAAGAGGCTATTTATGTGACAGTTTTTTAATGACTACCCAGTTCCTTCCTGTGGCCGGAAACAATACATGGGTTAAAGCAATGAGCCTGTAAATCTCAGAAGTTATAGGGGACATGGTTTAGATCAAAAAAGGAGCAAAATCAATTGTGCCTGCGGGGTGTTCACACTCCATAGCTTCTTGTCACTATCCGGTTTAAAGCTTCCAAGATTTTGTGTGCATTTCCCTTCTCTGACTTTTTACTGTTAGAATTTCAATGGATTTGCTATGGACATCTGCTTTAGTAAAGTGAAGAAAGAAATTCAGGAGCTTTTCTAGGTAATTAGGGTGATTACCTTTGGCTTTGCACTTTAAGCATTTTGAAGCAGTGGCTTAAAAGCAGGGTAGTGAACTGGAAGGGATGTGTCCAGTGTCTGTTGGGCATGGAAAGGCTTATTTCTGTCTTTACCTATTAAACTTTTCTAGTGTGTGGTTATAATGTACCTAATATATTAGTGCATATGTTATTTATTTTTCATGCTCCATTTTAATTGTCAGGAGTATATAATCAGCTTGAGAGCATTCCATTCTGATGATGAGCTATATTATTCTAATATATAATCTTTGCTCTGGGGCCTTATTTTGCTTATTTATATATAATACTTTGATTATAGTCATTCCTTCTGGGGTGACTGTGGTGTGATTTAGTTGGTATTCTGTACCACCCTTAAAGGCATGACAGCAAGATGTGGTGACACATACCTATAATCCCAGCCCTCAAGACTTGGAAGAGGCAGGAGGATCACTGTGAGTTATCCTGAGTTACATAGGGAGTTCGAGGCCAGCTTGAACTACAAGGCAGGACCCTGCCTAAAAAAAAAGACATGACATACACGTGGATCGTCTACCCTTGTAGATTCTATTGTAGGCAGGCTTTGTCTACCACAGTTGGAGAGCTTTAAAATGTCCTAATTCAGGCACAAGTCAGTATTCCTTCATATTGATGAAAGAGTAAATAGTGGTCTCAGAATTGTATTATTCACTTCCATATCCAGTACAAATGACTTCAGCACTTTCAGACACTTGGGGTTATTTGAAGCATGGGGCAGATACCTAGGACCCTCTTTTTCCATGCAGCAAAATATTGAGTTGATGGTAAGAACAACTTTTTTAGAGGAAATGGTGTGTTGTCATTATGTTTCCTTTTGTGAAGTAGAGGCTTGTCTTAGTTGCTTTTCTCACTGCTGAGTCAAAATACCTAACACCCAAAGTTAAAGGAGAAAAGGTTTATTTCAGCTTAAAGTTTGTGGAGAGGTTTTTGTTCATAGTTGGCTGGCTCCAAGGAAGGAGGTGGCATGGCAGAGGGGCATCACAGAGGAGAAGCAGTTCATGGCAGGTACAAGGCAGTAAGCGAAGCAAAAGCCCTCTTTCTGTCCCTTGTATTCTTTCCAGGCTGCCTGCCTTTAGGGTGGGTAACCGTACTCACACCCAGGGCGGGGCAGCCTTTATCCTGACTTTGCACATGAGTCAGTCCCTGAAGTACATCCTTAATCCCAGAATCAACACTCTAGGTCCCGCTGCCCCTGAAAAGCTCCACCTATGACTGCATGAGTCTTTGGGGGAACATTGAGACACAGCCATAACAGGGCTCGTCTTATTGTTGACTCAGCCATTTCTTTAACTTTGGGTAGTTTGCCTGCCTCCGCCCTTGTTTCTTTCCTCTCTCTGTAGACTTGACTTTTCCTTTTAAATAAATTGGAAAATGCCCTTAGTCTTTGTCAGTGGAGGCCTGATGGCCTTCCTGTGCCTTTATGAAAGAAAATACTGGTTGAGAAGTTCAACCAGTCTCTGAGGGTCAAAGTGGCTGTTGTTCATTAGAGATTGATTTGGCCTCATTATGAGCATTCCAGGTAGAGCTTAAGGAGGTTTGGTCTGGGCTCTTAAAGCATGCATAAGCTAATGTGGATGGCAGTGCAAGAAACAGTGTTAGAAAATGAAAAATGATTGTAGCAATTATGTTGGATGAAAGTGGCTGGGAACATGGAGAAAGTGACATTTATGTCAGTTTGGCTGTGGACAAAAAGTTTTGATTACCAGAAGAAAACATTTTGTAGAAAGGATAGTAGGACAAATGATCAGTTTGCCTTTTAGGGGTTGGGATGTTAAAAAAAAGGTGAAGAAGGCAAAAAGTTAGAGAAAGGCACAGAGTTAGGGCCAGGGGTGTGGGAGGGAGTGAGATCTTCAGCCAGCAGGAGTGAGTGCTGGGTATTGATCCTTTTGGAGGTTTATCCATCAGCTCTTTGAATTATGTTGTTAAGGCTGGGGGTGGACACAGAACAGGAACAGGGTAGAGCAGGGAGCTAAAATCTGAGCTAAACTTTTGACTGTTTTAACTGTAGCCCTGGCTCCCCAGGAAGAGCACTGTGAGGCTGGTGAGAAATGTGGCATGGCCAGAATGGAATGACATTTTTCTGTCTACTGAAGCATTCCACTGCCTGCCTGGTGTAATGGTTTTATGTTTGATGTTAGGAAAAATTAAGGCAACAGAAGGCTGTGATATCCAAGATTCTTCTCCATTAGTATACTTCAGTCTGATCAGTATAACTAACAGGGAGCCAACAGATTCAGTTCTGCATTTATTATTATTAGCTTTTACTTCAGAGCTTAAGTTAAGGAGGAAATGTGAGTGGAGGAGGGTATCTGCTTGTATCTTGCAAAATGTGAGAAAGCTAGTTGTCCCCCCAGAGCAGTCTAATCTAGAGACCTTGAGTGGCCTAGTGCTGCACTGAGTTTCCATACTGTTCCAGGATCCAGTGGTCTCAGGTCAGCCCCAGAAAAGTGAAGTTCTAGAGTTGACATTAGAGAATTTCCAAGAGTGAACTGGACAGTGTAGATTTAGGAAGTATAGCCTCTGGCTGGTACTTTCTCTCACTTTCTGAATGGTGGTTTTTTATCTTTAGTTGACAGAGCAATGAATCTAAAACCCAGGTCCATCTGGGTTATTCCTCTAGCCATTCAGTGGCGTCTGGCCACTTGTGGTCGGATGACATGGAGGGCTCTTTTTGTTCTGTTAACTCTCTGACTCTCATTTAGTCTCCAGAAATGTGAAATTACTTAAGAATTCCTAGCTGCTCTCACCCCAGGCAAATATCCAGCGTGCTATTTTGTGCCTCTGTGCCTTTGGCACTTGTTCTTCTTTCTGCTTGGGATAGTCCTTTCTCTGGTTAAGTGCCTCTCCACCTCCACTTGTAGGGCTCATTTGGGGAATCGTTTATTCCTGGTGACTTTGCTTGCTCTCTTTCATGAGCCCCTTCTGTGTTCCAACGTCACCCTGGTTTTTCTTTCACTGTGCTGCCTGTTACCTTCTGTTACAATTACAGGTAGAATTCTTTTCTTCCTGACTTCAAGTTTCTCAAGATCAGAGACCACTTGTAATTGATTTCCTAGTGCCTAGCACAGAGTGTGGCACATTGTAGATGTTCAGTGAACTGTTGAACTGAAAGGCAGAAAGTAGGAAATAATACTTTAGAAGACCTTGTCAATTTTGGGGACAACTTTGAATGTACACTGATTTAAAAATATATAAGTTGCCTCCGAGGGTATCTTTGGACTTACATGTAGTGATCAGGAGGAGTATGTGTGTTCAAAAAAATTTTGGTAGGGGGCTGTTCTGGGGGTTGAACCTAGCTAGGGCTTTTGCACTGATCCAAGTCCCTAGCCCATTTATTTATTTATAAATTTTGAAACAGAATCTTCCTAGAACTTGAACTTGTGATCTGTTTGCCTCAGCTTCCCAAGTCCTGAGGTTACAAGTGCGTGCCACTGCTCCTGACTTGTATTTAGTTTTTGTAGTCATCTACAAGAACAGTTTATTATAGAATCTCTTACTTTTTGTCTTTGTGTTTCCTGAATGGAAGAGGGCAAAAATGGAAAGAATCATTAGCCCACCAGCTGATAAACTGTCCATCTGGATTGTCATATGAATTAACCCCTCTGTGCTAGCTATTTTTCATGACACAGTTATACTTTGTGTCTTCATAGACCTTGCTCTATTCATTCACTACTTCTTTAAGCATTGTATACCAAATGTTGTCTGTCCATAGAGCCAGAACAGAGCATATGGGTTTTAAAAAATAGCAGTTGGGAGTGTGCATTTCTGTTTTTGCCTTCAGTTAAAAGCTCAGTC